TTTTGCTCAACTTTAAAAATAAAAAAATAAATAAAATTGCCTCTGGATGGAGACCAGAGCTTGCACGTTCCCGGGGCGGGTGGCGAGCCTCTCAGCCTGCCCCAAGGCAGCCTCCTCCGGGAGCTGGCCAAGATTTCCACCCTGGAAAAAACCGCCCCTCTGGCAGGGCTTTGCACGAGAGGGGACGGCACCAGCCGCAGATCGCTGAACTGGGCTGAAGGAGCCAGGCAGCATCGCGGGGTGGGAGGGCCCCGGAGTCCTGACCACTGCACCCCGAAAATAAACGTGACCTCGGAGGAAAGCTTGAGACGAAGGGGAAGGGGAGAGAGGGGCACAGCTGATTCCCAGGGGCTATTAATTCTTGCTAAAAGGTGAAAGAAGCSGAGCAACCGCCCCTGGTTTCTTTCACTAAGAAGGGAAGGCAGCTCATTGAATTTGCTGTTAAAATTGTAATAATAATAATAATAAAACAGAGCCCCTAAATTATCCTATTAAAAAAATAATAATAATAAGAGGTAGCTGCCATTTGACATGTGGTCTGGTTTAAATCCTGGGAGCAGCACAGCCCCTGAATCTAACCTGCCAGAGCAGAGCCCCGCTGGCTTCAAAGGCAGCGGGGGACCCTCCGCTTGGCTTTCAAGCCTGGGCTGGGGCTGCTAAGGATTCCGAAGCTCTGAGCAAGTTTTGGAAAATCTCTTTTTTCACGGCTAAACAACCGTGGAGAAATACCTCTTGGTAGGATTGCACCAAGGGAATAGTTTGGGGTGTGAGGCCAATAGTTTGGGGTGGCCGGGCTGCCCTGYGCCTCGCGCCCCGTGTCTGCAGTTCTGGGGCTCTGTGTGAAACCGGGAGGGTGGAAGTGCCCTCTGTGAGCTCAGACAYCCAGATTCCTTCAAATGAGGCCGCCTCCAACAGTCAATCTTCATATAACGCTCCCAAGACAGTGGCAAAAATGCAGACCACGTCTCTCTGCACATTCTTAGGGGCTTCCCAGCTGCTGCCATGCAGGGGCTGCTACAGGGATRCTGCACACATAGTCTGCTGGCAAAATAATCCCGCTTTTCCCAAATCTTTCAGGCTGTATTGAACTACAATCTGATGCCAGCTTGTGCCCAGCTGGGGAATCTGGGATATCTGCTCCTTCTCCTCGGTTCATCTTCAGYTTCCCCGCTGGCGAGCCCGTGGCCGGGAATTGCGGCGCTTTTCCTCCTGCCACGAGAGGAATCTGGAAACCATTACAAGCCGCTCACGCTTAATCACTTGGCCACATCTTAAATGCCTGTCTTAATATCTTGCAGGAGCGAAGATGGCATCGGAGTTTTTGCGGTGCACAGGTTAAAGCACCACGTGCACAGCCCCTTGGCGCCGCGACCCCGTGCACGTTTCAGGGGTGGCTGGTCCCAAGCACCCCACAGGTTCCCTCAAACTCAGGTAGGATTTCAAAGAAAACTTAAGATGTAAAGGAAAACGCAGGGGGAAAAAAAAAAAAAAGAAAAAAAGCCTTAAGGCAACTAGAATGAATCACAAAGATGAGATGTGGTAGTTCAATAGAAAAGCCAAGTTCTTTCATTCCTCAAATGTCAAGATGTTTCACTCCAGCCTTGTCAGGCTGAAGTGGCCTGCTTTCATGAAGTTCAAAACGGGATTTTTCCTTTTCCAATAGACCTAAAATTGGAAGAAGAGACATGTTTTTTGTTGGTGGGTTTTTCTTTTTTTTTTTCTTTTTTTTTTTTTTAAGTTTGTCTCTCTTTTTAAGATTAAATAGTCTCAAAGGAAAACAAAACATTTTGTCACTGGTCAAGCACCAAAGTGAAAAGTATTTCTCCCATTGTCATATTAAAAGCTCTTCCTCTTCAACTCGAATCCTCAAGCCATCAGGACARCTCCCCAACTTTGTTTTCACTTTGCTGCTGTAGTAGTAAAGAGCCTGATTTTGGCACCATTCTTTCACTCAAAGATTTCTTTATTAAACCATTAATTTACCACTAGCTGTTGGGASCTGTTATGAAATCAGTGTTCATATCTAATACAGATCCATCTCTGTATAATTATCCAGAGTGCAGAAGCCAGCCACTGCTAAGCATCTTTGGCCATCAGGTTGCTTATTTAGAGCCTGAAGGGCAGATTTCAAGGCTCTAGACGCTCACTTTTGGGAATCTTCATGAGATCTTGTAGCCCTCTTGAGCCTTGTGTGCCCCAGCAAGGTATGCAGTCACTACACTGTTTTAAAACTAAATAAAACACTCCCAGAGAAAGTACTGAGCCACAGCTTGAACATTTTGAAAGGGAGCTGCCAGTTTATGAGGGTGATTTTCTAAGGTCACAAGAAGTTGCTTCTAAAGTCTCAGGAGGAGCCAAGCACTCTGCAGTGCTCCTTGGAAAACCTCCTCCAAATCCAGTCTCAACACATAAAAGTTCTTCCCCAAAGGACACCCGTAAACACATTGGGGTTTTAAATCCTCTTGCTGCAGCGTGAAAGTATCAACATTTTGCAAACTTTATGGCGGGAAAGAAGCAACGTTCTACCTTAAAGACTTCCAAACTCTAGCACATACTTGTGGCCAAAGCCCCCGGGAGGAGGTGGGAAGGCATGAGGAGCAGGGCTGGGAGAGGTGTTGGAAGACATCCCGGAGCAGCTCCCACACTGGCACGTGGGCTGCCTTGGATGGGCTCCTCCAAACAGCACCATCAAGCAAGGGTATCAACCATGAAGGGGTGGGAGACCCCAACAACCTGGGGTCTCCATCTCCCGAGGACCTCCGGGTGACCCACACAACCCAACGCGCTGAAAACCGTGTCCCGGTGTCCCCAGGCGGCACCGACTCCACCTCTATCTTGCCCGACAGATGTTTGCTCTTAAAAACATCTGTCGATGGAGACTCCAGGCTCTTCCCAGGCCAATTTGTTCCCTGTTCAGCTGCCCTAACTGAGGAGAAGCCCTTTCTAGTGTCTAGCCCATCTCGCTTGCTTTACCTATCCACCCGGGACACTGAAAACTGATTATCCCTGTCTCTTTACAGCTGCATTTTATATATTTAAGGACTCTTATCATGTCTTCTCCCCCACAGTCCTATCCCATCCAGACTAAACAACCCCAGTTCATTCACTCGAGCATTTAACAACAATAAATTTGTTTGATGACATTCAATTTGTTTAGAGCAGCGGTTCTAATAATCCACCCTAGGCCAAAAATAACAAATATTTAGGAAATTTCTCGTCAAATCTCTAGTTTTATCATCTGTTTTGACAGTGAGATTGCAATTTTTAACCCAAATGGTTATAATTAAGGCAACTGCTTTCTATTTTTCTGTGTAAATGTTTGAACTACACCCTTCACACTGGCTGAGTGATACAATTAAAAGTATTAAACAAATGTCATGAGATGCTTGTTTTTTTGGAAAATATTCTGTATTTTTTACATATTTATGAAGTGTCTTTTAAAAGCTATTAGCCGCAAAAATATTTCTTTAGCTATTGAAAAATATTTATGAGTATCTGCTCAGCTCTGCATACGCCATCCAAAGTGGGAAATCTATAATATTCAGGATATTTGCAGGCAGGATGAATTTTCTTTTATTTCAATAATTTTTTTTTTCTGAAAATGATGTTATTTTACCAGCTTTTAATYCTATATAGATAGGGATGGACAGCCTTTTTCATATAAACATCTTGAGACAAGGAATTACCAGGTAATATTTTTTATGGCAAAGTAATCTCAAATACCCTGAGCGAGGACAGAAAGGAAGATCCCTGAATTTGCCCGAATAAGTCTTTATATATACTTTTTTTTCCCCCTATAAAACACATAGGAGTTTCATGCCTGGGATAAAGAGAATATAGCGCTTTTGTTGTTGTTGTTGGTTGTTTGTAGTATTAAAACTTGGAAAGGAGGAAAGAACTAAAGCTCAAGGCAGAGATGTGGAATTCGCACATCACGAGGCCCAGCTGGTGGGTTTGGTTTAGGCGGCTGGTCTCTATGTGGGCACACGGAGCGCAGCTAAACACATATAAGAGCCGCCAAGGCCGCCATGACTCCCCCTCCCCTCCCCCCCACCGCCGCCATCTTCCCGC